TTTACTAAATTAGATATAGAAGGTATTTAAGGCAGGATGAGCTCAGTAAATTATTTCCAAACCTCAAATAAATAAATTAACATATGTATATTTAGAAGCTATCTTGTGATAAGTATTCTAGTCATGATTGGAAATGGTATAAGTCTAATTAAATCTGTTCTCAACTCTGAGAAGCTCATTTTAATCAAAAAGATATGGCATTTGTTTAAGAAAGCTGATTAAGTGCCAATCAATGGTATAGAATTAAAATGATCTCAGACTATGTTTAGGACAGAAAAATAAATATTTGAGTTTGAACTTAAAACTAAATATAACAGGGTAAGTTATCAAAAGATATAGTATTCTCAGTGAGAGGAAAAACAATAGATGGAATTTATCAGACTACGAAACAAATACAAATGAATTATAGATGCATAAAAATCACACAGTCTGTAAATTTTTGCTCTATAGCAGAATTTCGGTGCTGAGGAACTGTGTTTATATGTAAATTTTAAATAATCAAAACAGTATATTAAATAGGCACTTGACTGCCAGGTCACCAGTGAACTTTTCTCTCAGTCTCCTTTCTAGGTCTATCAGTATGTACTGGATGAGGGGAGAGAAGCAGTTTGCTTAGGATTATTTAGCAAATGTGAGGGGAATTGCAACTAGACAAGATTGTTTCTTGTGAGATTTCCTGTGAAACTTTAAAGGAATCAAAAGAAGCTATAGAGTGTGTTTCCTATTTACTATAATGTACCTCTCTTCCTGTGACTCTATTTGGATACTTTTCCCCCTGAAGGTAAAAGTTGAAAACCAGTAGTTTTTTGACAGTAAAGCTTTTCAAAGAGAATTACAGCTAATAAATAACATGGTGAAAGTACTGATTTGGGGTACTGTCTGATAATAAACTGATAGTGGTTAGGAAAGAATAATAACCCTTGCAGGAGGAGATTTGTAAAGACATGTTATAATGACTCAGGAATACTTGAGACAAAGAACTTCACTGTAGGACAGAACATACAGAACGCATCCTCACCTCCAATTGCCACTTACAGATGCACTAAGGAGCACAGAAGAGGCTGTAGATAAAGAGCAGAGCACAATTTGTACACAGGTGAGAAGATAGGTACACTTATTCTAATAGATTGACATCCTCAAAGAGGCTAAGAGGAAGGAAGAGGACTGACACTCTTAAAATGAAACACATTTATTATTATTTTATGAAGTAGGAGAGAAAGATGACTAGACTAAGGAGAGGTCAAGAATAGTTTAGTACAAAAGATAGAGAAAATAGGAATAATGATCATACTATGAAAAGCCCATTGATTTGGGCAATTACAAATCCACTGAGAATTTCTACAAAACTATATTTATTTCAATTATGAAAGTGAGAATGAAAATATAAATATAAATTATATTTCATGACCAATAATGATTTTGAAACAAGTAATAAAATACATAAAAGCAGACCTTCCTTGAATAGGAGAGGGAGATATTGACTCTAGCAAAGAGAGGGAATTGTGGATTTGAATCATTGGTTAATTGGGATACCAGATACACAGTGTCCACCAAAAAATGTATACATACTTAAGCAATTTGCTGTACTAATGAATGTCCTGAGCTAATGGACAACACTCTGAGCACCTCTTTAATTGTAGAGGCCAATGGTTACTTGTACTAACCATGCTATCTCAATAAATTTAGTATTAAATATTTATATGAATTTTTCTTTTCCTGATGTCTTAGTTACTTTTTACTCATCACAAAATACCTGATAACCAAAGTTGGGAAACGAAAGGTTTATTTCTTACAGATTTTGGAGGTTTCTGTCCATACTCAATTTGGCTCCAAGGCAGGGTGGCGTGGCAGAGCCCCAGTGAATGGCGGCTGCAAACAGCCAAGCAGAAACCCGCAATAAAGAACGAGACACGTCTTCTTCCTGCCATTACATCACATCCTGGCTCCTAGGTGGGTGTAGCACGGACACCATCAATCCAAGCTCTAGACAATGAACCCAATCACAAATGCACAATGCAAATTCATGAGGCCTGGGGGCCACAGACATAAACCATGACACCTGATGTATGTATTTTTTGGCAGACTCTGTATTTAGATGAGTTGATCAAAGGACACGACAATTGTATGTCCTGCTCAGAGACAAGGAAATCAGTATAAGGCTTTATAAAGAGTCAGATAAAATGAAAACTGACACAAAGCTGAAATACTAGAGATTTTTTCCAAGCGAACTATTTAACAGGAGGATATCTTATGAATATTTTGACCTCTTGTTCTGAAGTCAGACACACTTGAGGCAAGATAGAGCTTAAGGGAGAGTTTGCTTCTTGGAGAGCATGAGTTACTCTCTGGGTGGCAAATCACCCTGTTCTTGGAGCCTAGCAGTGACTTATAGCTCAACTGTTTGCAACATGTCCAACCAGCTTACTCCTTCAAGTCTGGTGGCTCTGCCTCTGCACCCAACTTCACTAAAGCCTTTTGCTTTGAATGCCCTAGCTCTGCTGATAGAGAAAATTTTCTATTTTAAGGAATAGTTGTGATTATGTTAATCCTTTATGGATAGTTTTACTTTTTCAGTAAACATCAAATCACCTATTAATAACATCAATTACATTTATAAAATACCTTTTTCTAGGTAAGGTAGTAGTAGCAAAGGCCATATCATATTTACAGTCCTAGGGAATAGAGTAAAATATCTTGAGTACATTTTTCAAATCTACACAGCACAGATAATTTGATTATATTGCAATGTAGTTTCATAGTTCTATTTCTTAATAACTTGAGTTCATATACCTTACTTATGTCCTAGAATGTCCTAAGTGATATAAAAATGTAAAAACCATGACAGTTTTAAAATATTATCTATTCTTTTTACTATAAGTGTATAGATTCAGTCACTTTAAACCCGATGGATTTCTTAAAATGCTAAATTTCATTTTACATGGAGTGTCTTTCTATTTGCATGTTTAAGTTCAAATTCTTTGAGTTGGGTCTTCATGACTTATATATTATTGATGTTTCTCCTGAGATTCCAGCTGCATCCTGGCTAAGATCCAAGTAAAATAGCACAAGAATTCTTAGAGAAATAGAGGGAAAATAAAGTTGATATGGGAAATTATTGGAAAAGGATGTTAGGGTCAAAAAGAAGCAATGTATCACCAGAGAGTTTAAAACTGCTGTACTGTCAGATTGTACTTTGAATATTTTTAATGTAAGTCATGTAATAGGACTATTTATGAAATTTATGAAATAATTCTTTCAATTAATGTGCTCTGAGTGTTTAAAATATTGTAATAGAATATTTAATGAAGTGGAAACTAATAATCAAAATATTAAATTTTAATTCCTTGGCACATTAAGTTTTTGTAAAGCACATATGTTTTCCTCAAACTTGAGTAATGAAATACATAAATTGTTGTCCTTACTTTAGATGTGAAGGAACCTAGTTATTTGGCAATTTAACTAATACTTGTGTCTCACAGAGTGTGTCAGAATCAGGATTCATATCAGGAGTCAGTTCAAATATGTTAGACTTTGGAATCCAACCCATTCATGGTTGTATTAAATACTTGTTAAGTGGCATATTTGAAAATAATAAATAAAAAAGTACAAAATCTACCCGTTGGTCTTTACTTCTCTTTTTTCATATTTGAATTTTTATATGTTTGGTACACATCAGTGTTTCCTCATTGACACAGACCTGCTCTTGCTTTGTTGGAAGTACTGTATGTAATCACTATGTTAAACAGTGACATCTCATTGTTTAACATACATTTATTAAATTCATGTAACTTCAAAAGAATCCTTGTAAATTTAACAGCTATTAGTATGTATGAGAAATTCTGGTAAAAATAAAAGTTTAAAATATTTCATTAATTTGCTTTTTTATTTTGGTTTGCTTAAAATTAAATTTTTACAAAATTATAATATATCAGAGTATGTGACCTAATTTTTTGAATTTGAAATTTATTAATTTCCAAGATCAGTTGCTTCAATCAAATACTCCTAAAATGATAAATATATTTACCTTCTATGTATTGAGATTACTTCACTCTATGCTTTTCAATATGAAATACTATCTTTGGGTTATGTATTTAATTACCAACTGCAAAGTGAAACTATTTTTTGGAAAGTTACAGAAATGTCAGACCTAAATCTTCCATAAAGCATCATTAGAATTTAAGTATCCATTAAATAGGCAACAGGAATACCCTACAGTTGTTATGCTTGGTCATGTGTTCTCCAGTACTGCCTTAGAGGAGTACATGTCATGATTTTGGTTATTTTATTCAGACTTAACTTTCAGTAAAATATTCTATTATTCATAATATGATCTTTTTGGAAAGCAGTTCACATATTCCAAATATTATTAAAATCTTACCAACATCCCTGCACAATGTGGGGCAAATCACTATTCTATTTTACTCATAAATGTAAAAGAAATAATTAAGAACCAAGACGGAGAAATTCATTAATTTTTTAACATGATTTGCAGAAATAAAAGTAGGGCCTATGAAATTTGTCCCAATGTTCAGTGACGTGTCATGTATACTGGGCTATCCATTTGTCCTGAGATAGTTTAAATGAAGCTATACATGCCTATGTCCAACATTCTAGATTCTTTCGATAGAATTTTTTTTCTGGGAGGATATTTTTGAGAAATTCTGGACTATTGGTTTTCAAAACAAATGCTTCAACATTGCTTATTAGGAAACAGGATTTCCAAACTACCATAAGACAGAAGACCTAATTTTATTTGCTTTTCAAAGCCTTATCATGGGGTTAAAATAGGAGGATTGTAGCTCTTTATGGTTACACATTGCCTGTTAATCGTTTCTATTTCAGTTGTTTTGGATATTGTGAAATTTCGATTGGGTTAGGCATATGTATTAGGATAGTAGATCCACAAAACAGGATAATTGTACTTTCTAATATAAGTTTTTGTGTAAAGTTCTTAAAAGATTTGAATAAGCTATCAAACATTTCTTGGTGTCCACATTTAGTTGTTACAGGGGAGGTCGCCCAAGCCTGACAGGTGGGAGCTTCCTGCGCTGGGCAGCGGTGGTGGCATGGCTGAGCAGGTCAGCGGAGACTGCGACGACGAAGATGGATGTGAGGGGTCCGGCAGCGGAGAAGTCAAGAGGATGGTGAAAATCACACGCTGTAAGTGCTGGCTTTCAATACCATTGGAAAGCATTGGTTTTGAAATACACTTTGCATTGTTATGATGATAAGTGGAAAGTGCCACTATTTTGGTCACTTGCAAATGGCAGTGAATTCAGAAGCAGGTAAGAGAAACTGGATATGAAATTGCGCCAGTTTTTATTTAGGACATGCATTTAAGTATCCATTAATAGGCAACAGGTTATTTTAAATGGGCAATAATTTATTTTAAATTATTGACAGTTTTTCTTTTAAAATGACACTTTTTCGTGAAAAGCCAATAGTGTGTCACCAATTCTGAGAATTATAAAGATTTATCACTGGGCTAATTCTTAGGACATAATGGATAGTAGATGTATATTGGTAAATAATATAAAACAAAGATAAATGATTACTATTGGCTAATCAAATTTTGCAACTGTTAGAGTATCACGTCACTATTCTAAGCCTTTTTAATTTATTGGGTTTTCATTACAGTCAATTGCAAAAAAAATTGGTAAATAATTATTGTAGAAACTGTTTAGTTTTAATTCACGAATTTACACTTTCTAAAAATCTCATCAAACATTCACTTTGTTTTAATTTTATGGATTTGAAATAATTTCTGGCATTGCTACTATTTTGGTCACTTGCAAGTAACAAAATTGAAGAGGAAATGAACCACATAGATTTCCTCCCTGATCTTCACATACAAGATGAGAACTATAGGCTCTGTATCTTCCATGGTTATGGATATGCATTTGGGAATGCATGTAATACAAAGTGATCGACTAAGAAAGGATGTCAGAGTTAATATACCCAGAGCACCTGGCATACAGGGGCCAGGTATGTATCTTTGTATCTTTGGGCCATGCCTTCTGCAGGAATAAAATTTCATTTACCTTTTAGTTCTCTTGTAGAAAGTTAAGAATAATAAAAATGCTTCAAGCATCAGTTCTTTATTCCTTGTAATACCTAACACCTAGTTTTATAAACTGAATATATTGGTTAAAGGGATAGAAGCCTATCATGGTGCAATGGTGCACATCTCTAGTTCTGGCTATAAAGAGGGTGGAGGCAGGAGGATTGCAAACCTGAGGACAAATGGAGCAATTTAGTGAAATTCTGTCTCAAACTAATTGTTAAGAAAGGTTTAGGGATACAACTCAGGGATAAAGGCCCCAGGCTTCAATCTCCACTACAACCATGGACTGCATAAATAAATACATAAATAAAATGAGTAAAAGGTAATTAATATATAGAAATATATTACTGTGATAAGTGTAGTAATATATTTTAACATAGAAGATAAGTAAAAAAAGTTAGTATATTTGAGCACCAGTTGGAAAAAGTTTTACGAAGTTCTGCAAATTAAATACCTTCTACTCTTAGAGATGGAGATAAGGATACGTGTCCTTGTAGTTGACTTAACATAGCTTACCCGATTATTTTTTGCCTTTTTTTCCTTTGGGATGTTTAAGGGAAAACAACAGTAGAAGGAAACAAGAAGATTTTCACTAAAACAAAACTACTCTTACTGTGTTAAATGCCTTCTACTATATCAAGGAGTGATGACACTTGTGTATTATAATATTGTATTCAATAATATCTTATTTTTATCATGTCTAGTATATTGTAATTTCTTTTTCATTTAAATGCTGGCAGGATTTTAAGACATTAAAATTGTAAGGAATTTTTGCATAGTTGCAATTTTATCGTGTGTGTGTGTGTGTGTGTGTGTGTGTGTGTGTGTGTGTGAATATAGTATAGAATTGGCATTATTTGGGATTTCTCACTTTTCAAAGTTACTTATAGGCTCAGAGGTTTATCCTAGACAACTCTTTTTGGTTTGTTTCATGAAGGAAATGAAGACAGTGAAAGATATTCAATTACGATTTTCTCGCAAAACTATGCTTGTTGAGGTGGCAAGGAGGAATTTTCTTTTAACTTCAAAACCTTGGTTTCTATTACTGCTGAAATGGAAAGATATGGTACAGACAACCACCCATCAGAACTGGGTAGATTAAGATACAGATGATTTTTAGCAACTACAGGCAAACATGAAAAACAGAATTCCACACTATCTTGCTCTAAGTGGGCTGCTTAATATGTTTCTGAGAGTTTACAGCTACTGCCTTTCAATTTTTTATAAGTGGTTAGGAAACCACTGTAGATAACCTGCTGAAATAAAGAGGGATAAGAAAAGTACCAAAGCGTAGGTCACATTTCTATTTTTAAATAATCACTATAATATTTCACCTTTTTGAGTCATTTGATATATTAGTAAAGCAAATTAAACATAGTATTGGATGGTCCTAATGACTTAAAAATATTACACTTTACAAAATTCACTAAGGTGTGATTTATGTTAAGAATATGGGACATACCATTATTTCTTCCTTACATTTATAAAATACAATATAAGTAGAAGTATAATATAGTTAATTTATTGTCTCTAAAAGATTAAGTTTTACAGATGTCTAGGTAAGCAGTAGTATTTATATTCTGTAAATTAAATGTTTCTGTTCTGATTATGCAAATATATAATAATTGATATCTTCCTAAGTACATTTGAAATTATGTTTTGTTCTGCTTTTGTTCATGTTTATTTCAGACAACACAGCAGTGTATACATTTCAATATACCAAATTTTACAATCAAACTATATATATATATATATATTTATCACTACTACTATCAAATTATTTAATATTTTAGCAACTTTTAAACTATTCCCATTGGTAATCCTGCTTGTAGACTACTACTAAATGTCACCTAATTAACTTCTTACAGAAACAAACCATCTAACCTGAAATAGTTTTCAGTTAAGAAATTGAGGATATGTTTACGTTTCAGTACAGCAATTTAAAAATGATAACATTAAGGAAATGTTTTCTATGTTCCTATTACACTAAATTTAATCCTTTTCTTAGAACCAGGTGTTTTACCAATAACTGGGAATTGTTGCCTCTCCATCCCCACCTCACCTGTACCGGCCCTTTCATGCAGTCAAAATGCCAAGTGAAAAACAAGTCCTCTGCCTTTAGGCGTGGGAATAAACCTGGTCTCACAGTAAGTAAATAAATAGATAAATACACACAATACCTTCTCGGCAACATGACTGCTCTTCTAATCCCTCTAACCCTGAGAGCTTCAAATGTTGAAAATATAAGCCAGAGTTCTATGCTCTATCTCTGGTTTCTATGAGAAATTATCTCCCATGCATAATTTTGAGTCTTACTGCATGGTCCCCCCTACAGGGACACAAGTCATGACTGTCTCACAGGAACCCGATGCCATGACCAGGGAAAATATTATGGAAAATATCATGACCAGGGAAAATATCATTGCATAATATTATCTAAGCAAAATAGAAGCACTCTACTGTATGTACAATCGGGCTTAGCTATAAATAATGTAGAACCTAACTGTGTCAACAATCTTGAAGAAAAACTAAATCATTCTATTTTTAAAAAATAAATTCCCTTTAGAAGGACTGTTTATCCCTTTCTCCTCTTCTTATTTCAGGGATTTCATCATTGTCCTTGTAAGCTACCTATAATCCCAAATTTTAAATATTTGAGGAACCCCAAATTTACTTCTCATCTCTCTTTACTACTGTCCCTTCCTTGTTCCACAACCTAATTTTACTCAGCAATAACAGCAATCATGATAAGATACACTGCCACTGATAACAATGTATAATGTATAAAGCATTTGCCATAGTGTACCTCCAGACAGACCTAGGGAAACAGACAGCAATTAACTAAATTCAATTAATTTTTAATTAATTGCAATATTATGCAATGTTTAGCAATTTCAACAGTTATACTTTCATTGAAAAACCTGTATCTTACTCATTATTTTTAAATTAATTGTATTTAATTGTAATTATAACTTGCTAGATCTGGAAATAATTTTTGGCTGATCTTTTGTAGTGTAAAATAAATAGAATTATTTTTATATTGTGTTTTGGATTTCTCACTTAGTACAGTTGTATCAGCCGCTAAAATATTTATCTACATCATGGCACTAAGAATAACCTTGGAGGACAATATCATACTCTATGTGAACATGAAAATAAAAATGACCCTTTGACAACCACCTTTGGTTCAAAGTCACAGCTAGACAAAGAGGTAGGGAAAGCTCAAAAGATGTAACTTTATTTTCTTTCCAGAACTAGTAAAACTATTTATTCACATTGTAGGAATTATTTCATATAATTTTCATTATCTAGCTGATGGATTTTCCTTTGTAATATAAATTTTGTTAGAGAGTTCATGTTAAGATTTGCATACCATTAAAACACTTACACATATATATATTTTAGTATATATATATTTTATATATTAAGAGTAGGTGTAGTTTTTTGAAATTTAAAGTATTAACAAATTTGATTAAAATAAAATATGTTAAAGTTATCTGGCAAAGCATTCAATATTAGCCTATTCATGTTATTCCAAAAATAAGAAAAATGTACCGAAAGTTACTAGGTAGGTCATTATATATTTATTTTATTCATTTTTAAAAGTGAGTCATCTTTATAGAATATAATTTTTATAGAATATCAGATGTAGTCTTCAGTACTCTATATTTTGATCCACATTTTGCAACTGCCTAAAATACTAGAGATTCAGACACAATCATGTATGGTAAAACCATAGAAAACTTCGCATTTTTAAGTGTTGTTCAACATTCAAAATTGTAAACACCTTTAAAATACTAACAATTAAATTTGTACAGAACTAATGAAAATTACACTAATGAGGGCCAGAAATATAGCTCAGTGGCACAGCACCTGCGTAGCAAGTGTGAGGTCATGAGTTCAATTCCCAGTTTAAAATAAATAAATATATATATATATATATATATATATATATATATATATACACACACTAAGGAGAACTGACATATAGGTCTAAAGTAAATGTATTTCAATTTATATGTGATCAACATGAATATTAATCTGTTTATATATTTCCATTTCGGCTTTTAATTAAGTGGGACACATCCTAGCTGCT